ATCCCACTGAAACAACCAGAACAATCATCTTCTTGTATTATCACACCAGTGTTTCAGTGTGGAATGCAGCTTAATTTGTTCAAATTGATGCTGACCATGGAATATATATTATGACATTTGCTTAAGATAGTTGCTGTGTTTTTAAAAAATAATGACTCATTATGGCAAGGCTGTCCGTAATGAAATTCTTCTTTTGTTCCCAAGATACATACCAACAGAAAGGTCACACTTGAAAGGGCTGTTATGCACACTCAAATAACAGGAATGTCTAAGATCTAAATTGGGCAGTGATTAAATAGACATCATATCTACATAAATCTGTACAATATACAGAAAGTCATGTTGGCTGGCCTGAGTGGTCACTCAGGTGAAAAAAACTCAAGTCTCCCTTAAAATTTAAATGTGTTATCACCAAAAAGAAAAAGAAATCAAAGCACTCAGAACCAGTTATGTTAGATCCTCTATCCACAGCTATCACAAATACGCCAGGGTATCTGGTTACAACATCATCTTGATCAACTGTTGTGTAAGACTACTTGACAGTGTCAAAATTCCTAAGGAAGCCATCAAAAAATTCTACAAACACTGTTGAATTTTAAAACACTTGGTAGCTGCACGTGGCTGAATTTGAACATCCTTGGGAGCCAACTTTTCATACTCAATTGTAAGGGTCCAGTTCTCAAATCTGGCAGTTTGTAAACAATTATTGGTATTTCTTTGCTGCAACATGAAGTGACTAGCTCATAAGCAAAAATGATGGTGGAACTCAGCAGGTGCTGACTGCAATTTTGCTACTAAGTTTTTGACTTTATTGCTGCATCTACTGGGTAGTGGAGATATTCTTCCTGAACACAATGAAGGAAACAAATCAAATGAAGAAGAAAATCTAGGTCGACACAAAAATAAAAAATGGGAGACTAAACCAAATATCTCAGTAAAATGGAAAGGCACTTGGTAATGACTGTATTCAGAATTCAAATCATAGGATTACAAGCGAATCTAACAGCACATGTGTGGCTACTCACACCCTTATTTATATGGGCTCTGTTTACATCTAGTGGGTACAAAGTCCTGTGAAACACAAGGATTTGATTACACACATCTCACTGAAGTCAAGGCAGCTTCTCATATGGAAAGCTTGAACATTTCTAAAGGCTTAGTGGCACTGGCATGGAAGCATGAAATAAAGGTTGCTCAGTAACAGCCTCCCCCTGACGGCCAGGCAGGCTCAGACCGAGCTCCACGGCAGCAGCAGCACCTGAACAGGGACTGCAGCAGCACGAGTGGGGCTGGAGGCTGCCGTGGTGAGCAAGTGGGAAAGGGAGCAGGAACGAAGCAGACCCCAAAATGACAGTTTTACTGGCCTGGGACTAAAATCTTCAGCATAATTACTGAAAAAGACAAGTCCACAGAGCGAAGTGTATCTTGGCACATCAAGCCGTATGTGGCGATGGGACAGGTGCTGTCCTGCAGGCAGCCCCAGCAGGGAACAGAACTGGAACCAAAGTGGGAAGGTGAGCTGGGAGCTGCTCCAGGAAGCTGAGAATCACGATTGACCAGCGATTACTGCCTGGCAGCAGGCAGAGAGAGCCCAGCACTCCCACCGAGAGCAGCTGCAGGGAGAGGCAGCAGAGCCAGCCAGGACAGAGCTGCCATGCAGCCCCTCCTCACACAGCCAGGGAAGGATCAGCCTTCACCCTTGCTGCAAGGCTTGCACTATTACATCTAAAATTTAGCACTACATATGCAATTATTCTATCACAGATAGTTTGCAACCTACCTTACCACACAGAGGCATTTCAATGGTGATAATCCTCTCTTAATATCTTAATTAACATTTAAATAGTTGACTAGCTTGTAATGTAGTTTACCTAGTTCACTAACCTGGTTCTAAAATACATTTTTAGCACTTTGAAAATAATAAAGTAACAGCTACACTTTTATATTTAAATTCCATATTACTATCTATATAAAGAAATTTAGTTCTGTATTTAGCCTGTATTTTTGAGAAAGCAAGGGGTACTGTCCCAAGTGATGTCATTTTACTCTACTCCATATATACACAGTTCCTACTCAAATTAATTCAGTACCTCTCAAAGAAAAAAATATGAAAATACAATCTTCAATTACAGACAGTGTTTTACAGCTGACAACTCCTGAGTAATTATGAAATCAAGAGTTTATTTGCAGACTAAAATTCAAATAACTTCATTATATTATTTTGCTAGGTGCATTTCAGCTACCTTGCCATTTTTCTGGGGTTTGTTGTGTGGTTCAATGTATTTTCAGGCCTTTTTAAAAGGAAAATGAAAATAAATTGGTTTCAGATCCAATCCATTAGAATAGGACTTTGAGATGCACAAAGAATACATTCCTTCAAAGTATGTTTGACTAAAAATAATAGTAAAAATCTAAAACGCAGACATAGCACCCACATCCTCCCAGATCTGCCTGTTGTTCAGCTGTAACGCATAAGCTGCCAGCAACTCAAAAGAAGGGTTTATAGATACACAGCTTAATCACTGTTGTAATCTTACATAAGATTACAACAGCCATTAAAATGTTCTTTTGCAAACAGTGTTATGGTAACTGGCTAAAATGCCAGTTTGTCTTGTACCAGCAGCAACAAGAGGTGTATAAAATCACCCAAGGAGTTGTGACAAGTGTGGGTCTGACAATTAACAATAATTGTAGGAATTTAATGATTGGACCCAAGACTGAGAATGCAGTGAAGCTGCTTACCATGTCTCAAACAACCTGCAGTGCAGTGGTGTTTCTTGGGAAAAAAAATCATTCACCCTCTTCCTTCAAGTGCTTGTTCACTTTTCCTGAGGAGACAGAAATGACATCAGAACCAACTCTACCAGGGACTAAAGGTGGGCTATAGCAACTCTTGGTGATTTATTTCTGCTGCAGTTGTATGACAACAGAGCTTCTCAGTATTTCCCCAGAGAAAATCTTCATCTTCCAGTTTAAGAATTGTGTGAACTCAGAAAAGGGGCAGAATCCCTTAGGGATGATATAAATCTTCCTTATGTGCCTAGAGCACAGATGCTAAGGCACTGTACACATCAGTAAGACCTGAAGAATGCCAAAACACACAACCATTTCTTAGAGGTAGACTGACCCTTCTTCTGTCTAAAAACATTGCTAGCCCTCACTGTTCAGACTGACAGTCCTTCACTACTTGGAATAGTCCTACAACAATTAGTCCTTCAGAAGAAAAAGATAAAACACAGGAACTAGATGGACATGACAAGATGTACTGCAGTATTCCCATTTCCTTCTTGAAAAAAATCCAAGAATGCCAAAATGCCTCCCCAGCAGACATATCTGGGATGGAAGAGGTTACATCAGGTACAACAGACAAAGTCAAGAAGACTTTTATTTTCAGTGATTTTAAGTTTATGGACAGTTCTCCTTTTCCCCCTCCTTTAGAAGAGAGGACTTGTTCCTTCCCACAGCGAGGGAGGTGGGAAATGGCACAGAAAGGAAATCTACTCAAACCAACACTCAAACACTGTCCCCTGTCCCCATGGGAAGGAAAACCTTGACAGAGCTGTGACAATGCCTTGTCCCCATGGGAGGAAGAACCCTGCAAGATCTGCTATCCAATATAAAATCTCTGGATCTGTAGGTAAGGGTCCCAAGGATTGTGCACTGTTGTTAAGTTCAATTTCACATCACCAGGTATTACTGGAATTTTCAAAGTAAAAACTACATTACACATCACAGCATTATAAGGAAACAAAATACAAGGTGCTTTAGTCAAATATTATATACAAATTTTACAAAAGAAAAAAAACTTTGCTTAAAAATTTAAATTTTACTATTACTTTAAGTAAATGGATAAATTAAAAACACCTATTGGTAAAAAAATACATGAGTGAAGAAGAAATTCTCACCCAAGATTCAATATCATGCTACTCATGGTACACATTAAAGTTTTATGGTGTAAACACTAGGAAAAAAAATCACTTGCTTTGACAACTGCAGAACAAAATCATTTTCTAAGGGACATAACTATTCCTCAGATTGAAGTTAATTTTATCCTATTTAATTATACCCTGTTACCAATTTAAATCCTGCCCTAGAACATTGAGTTTACCACGCTGCCTTGCATGTATGTGATGAACATTTGTAATTTATTAGACTTTTTCATTATTTTTGAGGTGTTGTTAATTAGTCTACATACAGACTTTTCCTTCTACTGTTACAATGCCTGTGTGTGGCATTGCTTGTGTACCATCACTACTCTCTGCTTTAAACTGGAATACTTGCATTTATGGAAAATTTGACCCTTTTTACTACATTTCTGAGACCTGCAAGAGAATTTTTCTGTCAGCTCCAATCTGCTACAGGAATAAAATTTGCTGTGGTCAACACTTTATTTATTTTAAAATGATCTGGTGATCCCAAAATCTTAGGCCACAAAAGGCATGTGGCTTACTGTGGTAGGGAACAGCAGCTCTGAAGGGATTGCAGTGCATTCAAATGTTTGGGACAGAACAGATTCCATTACCACCAAGGTCACTGTACTTGGTCCCCACTCCATACACACAGTGTCATTTTGTGTACACTGAATCTGCTCAAAAAGGCCACAGATTAGGCAAAGACAGAGAACAATCAGGGTCTGCATCTATTCCCACTGAGCTGCATGGAAAATCTCCTTTCTTAAAGTAGCAAAATAAAACCTAAGAATATCCCTGAGAAATGCCAAATACCCACCAACATAACTAGAGAGGACTGATAATAGTGTGGCATCTTGAAGCTAAAAGTTAGTTAGCAACACTGCTAAATGTCAGCTCTTTAGTATTTATGTTTCATTATTTCAAGGGGGGAAAAAAAGAAAAATCAACAGCACACATACCAAGGGCGTCAGACTTAGAATCTCCATATTGTCCTTCACAAATGTGGTGAGATCAAGTAATACCTATTTTCTTTTAAAAATAACACAAGTAAAATTCAAGTATAATGAAAGCACATCAAGAAACAAACTGTACAATTTCTGAACTGCACTGTTTATTTTGCTGCTTGAAACCTAAGTGACAGTATGCCACTATAATTATGGGGTTTCTTCTAAACCTTTACTACACTGCAGGTACAGAAATATATGGACACATTTTTGGAGAATTGACATTTTGCAAAATGCAGCAAACATTTCAATTTATACATGAGAAAAGGAAGTGTTCAAAAGGGTATGCATTTCAAGTTATTGCAGGTTATTTCTGTGAGAGAATTTCTGCAGGTAAAACATATTTAAATTTAACCAACAGTAACGTGTCAGTGTACTTAAAATCATGACAAAAATCTTCTCTCTGGTCATTAATTGCCCCTTGACAAATTACTAGGATGTTGTATGTTTAGGGCAAGATGTCAATACAGCATAAATCCCGTGGCATTTTGGTTTTCTTCTGGAGATTAAAGCTGTTTTTTTCTTGGGATAAATGCAGCAGCAAAACACAAACCAGCTGATCAAAAAAGCACTTCTGCCATAACTCCAATAATTTCAGGGCACACCAACCGACAGTAGTTTTGCCATTCCCAGTTCTTTTAAGGTTTACATCACTGCACTGTTGCCTTAAGTAGGTTTGTAGAAGCTTGTTTTCTGTTAGGCCAGCTTGCTGACTACAGCCTGGTTGAGAGAATTTAGTTGGTTGGTCCATTTATCTAACGCAGTATAACGTGCACCACCTCTCTTCTGATGGTCCAGTTCTAGGAGCTGGTTGACTTGATCAATTCGGCCATGTATAGTGCTAGGAGTGAATAAATAAAAACTATCAATGGCTAATGCACATGGAAATAGGAGCTAACAATGAATCAGAGGTAAAATAAGAGGTCTTCTACAAGAGAGGCACAAAGTCCATTTCAGAATTCAGCACTTTTATAATTATGGTCCTGGGCAGTACTGCCTATTAAGCTGTCATGACTGGAAATCAAACAACTAATTCATTGGGCAATGCATGTTTTATCTGCTTGGCTATGACCCCACACACAGTCTGAAGCAATAGGACATAAACAGTTCTTGAAAGTCAAAGAATCATGAAAAATGGAGATTTATGTGAAGAGAAGTCAAACAATACAAGCCCGTGTATGGATTATATATTTGTAGTAGTTATAACAAGTTACTCTCCAGAAAAATAGGTTTTACAAATTGTAGTTAAATTCTTCTAGTTAAGAGAGCAGACTACCAATCTGTCAACTTGAAAATGCACTCAAAAATATACAAGGGTGTAAGCAGCAATTACCAGAAATAACAACTTTCCTAATTTCATAATAATTCAGGGAATTTTTATTTAATTAAGAATTAAAGAAAGAAGATGCTCCCTGTATAATTTTCTTGGTTCCCATCCTTCAAACATACTTTACTGCTCAGAAACCAAGCAAATACAAAGTCAGCACCATTCCCTTTCACTTCTAGAATCAACCAGTATTATCACAATGCCCCAAAATAGTTTTGTTGCCTCTTCTACAGTTTGATTATTTTAAAGTAATCAAAGATCAATAATCAAGAATCAGGTACATACTTATCCAATATGCACTGCACAAGCAAGCTTTCCACATCAGCTACATCTATGTTTAACTCCTGAAACAAAAATAAAACTCATTATGCTGTTACTATGTTCTGCAACATTAAAACCCCCCAATCTTTATTTTCATATACAGAATTTAGTTTAACCTCTGTTTCTTACTGTTCATAAGTATCAATTCAGGAATGATCAATTAAGCAAAAGACCTCCACCCAAAGGACACATGGCCAAGAATCAAGAGACCAGTAACCTCTCAGAAAAAGCTGAAGAGGCAAAAGCAAAATTTTAGAAGCTCCAGAAATGAGCTCCTTTACTGACTTACTGAAAAAACAAACAGATAAAAAATATCCCAAACCAAATAACAACAAAATAAACCACAACCACAAAACCCTAGGAAATAAAATAAGACAATAATTATCAGAAAAGAATGGATCTGGACTCAAAACCATTTAGAGACATAATTGCATCTTCTGGCTCAAGCAAGTTCTGCAAGTGTTAAGTCTAGCTAAAAAAAGAGTATACCGAGTTCTAAAAGGAATTTAAGCATAAAAACCAGGCATCCCTAATATTTCATGATGTATTTTGTAATGCTGTGAATTTTTGCAGGCAAAATCACAGATCCACAGGAGATGGGAATCGTCATATATTACCACTGGGTTTTTATTTCATTCTTTGCAGATTAGGCAGTGAAATCAGGGATTCTATGCTAATACTTGGTTTGTTCTACTACCACAGTTCTGTAACTCATACAACACAAACATGTGATGATAGCTTATGAGCAAAAGAGGTTAAAATTTTAAAGTCCATAAAATTTATGTTCATAATTACATTTTTTATTATACAAATTTCACTTCTTTTACTTCTCCTAAGAAATGTGATTTTTCTACACCAAGTAGAATATGGTAGTTGAGTATTTTAGAAGTATATCATAGTACATATTATAATAAGCAGTTGGATGACACTTGAAATTTACATTTTTGCACTGCAAAGCTGCCAGCAGTGCATCATTAGTACTTCATGGTTTAGAGTGTATTTTAGATGTTATATTTCTGGAAGCACTGTATTTATTTAAAAGCTTTTATTCACAGTTAATCATTTACTTAAGCAAATGCAAGGCTACTGCCACATACCTTAGAAATAAAAGGAATATGTATTCTTGTGTAAGGCTTAATTAATTTTATAAGCACTTGTGTTCTGATGTTTCGCAAAAGCTCTGTAAGAGAAGAAAACATAAACAGTGTAAAAACAACAGTATTGAAATAAAGCTGCAATAGCACTCCATCCAGAAAGGTGCTACCTTCAAAGACCATGGTGTTTAGTGTAATTCAATGGGTGGGGAAGCCCAGCAAAATAACAAGGACCCTCCTTTTCCAGGGACCCAAGCAATATGTAACTCTGAAGGTGGACAGACAGAGCTGAAAACTGTTCAAACATGGAGCAACATGTTCTCTGGTAAAAATTTTATTTATTCAAGTTAACTGGATAGATCATAAAAATCATTGCCTGGTATGTCTGCCCCCCTAATTTATGGCTAGAATGTTTGCTGTGTACAAAAGTGAAAAGGGGCTTAAAGCCATGCAATTTAAAATGTCTGAGCATTTAACTTCATGGGGAGTATTCACATTTAAAGTTAAAAGTCAGGGCCTAATGGTGTAATTACAATGAGGAACTGAAGTTGTATAAAATGGTCTGCATGGAAAGGCTCATTTTGCTTAGATAAAATAGTGCAGTCATTTTATAAATTTTTACATTATTAAAGACAGTTGGGATAAAATGAAAGCATAAATTATAAATTAACAGAGGAAAAAAAAAACTAGGTTCATTTTTACCTGTTTAAACAAGGACTGTTTATATAATAATATGCCACTGAACACCAGATTATGTGTCTCAATAAACTATGGAGATGAAAACAACGAGGCAAGGTATGTAAACAATGAACAAGTTGTGTATCACTGCAGAGTGAACATGGTGAGACATCAGTAGCATATAAGGAGTGACACTCAATTCCCTTCAATGCCTTAATTCAGCTTCCTGCTCTTGCTCTCCAGTTCTGGCACACCTTCCTCCATGAGCATCCAGCTCTGATCTTACCAAGTCTCCCTCCAAGACTTTGCAGCTCACCAGCAGTCCACATGGAACAGCAGCACTGGGTTATATTTAGTTTCCCCTGCTGTTTGCCCTGTTCTCTTTTACAAACAAGTATAAGGAAACCAGGTCTCTGGATTTAACTCTTTCAGGTAACTATCCAGCTAAATGATCCTGCACTGCCACAGTCAGACTCACTCTTGAAAACAACAGTTAGCTGAAGAACTGAGCACTGTATTCAAGTGAAGAGACTCTTCAATTCTCAGATACATGAAAAATGGGTGAGGTAACTTTATTTTGTCACCTTAATGGAACAGAAGGGCATGTGTTAATGTGCTCCCATTCTATTAAGTAGAGGTACTATAACTCCAACTATTGTTTACAAGATAGAAATGAAAAGTATGCATCTTTTCATTTAGTATTATATTAAATGAAAATTAAATTATATATATTATATATATTATATATATTACATATAATTTATAATACATAGAAATTATATATTATAAATTTTATATATTATATTATTATAGTATATATTAAATTATATATATTTAATTTTAATTTAATATTATATTACTACATATTTATTAGTGCAACCTTCATTACGTTGTCTATGTATTTTGTATTTTGTGTAATCTGAAGCAGTAAATTATAAACTAGCAAACATCAAAGTGGGTGAGACTCATACAAACCATCTTTAGAGAAGAGGCTTGCTCTCATTTCACTATTCCAAAAACAACACTCAAAGTATTCAAGTGTCTTAACACTACCATAGATATCTTACAATATCCACTCCTCTAGAACTTTCTCCATCAACTTTGTATATCCTTGCAGTCATGCCACATGCCTGGATGCAAGTTAGCCCTGACCAACTTCTAAATGACTTGTAAAGGAAGAATCCACAAGTAATTACAAGGAACTTTTAGTGCCAAAAAGAAAAATAAACCAAGGTGGGGGAAGAAAAAAAAAGGAGCTTACTAAGTAGTGAAAACAAAAATTATTATAACAGCCTTTAAAATACCTTCAATGTGCTCCCTTATGAAGGGATCGTCCATGATGTTGCTGTGATTTGTTTTCAGAATCTTCTCAAATTCAGTGATGTCATTATTCTGATAGGCACTTCAGAAAAAAACCAAGGGACTGAATTATTCATTTTAAAATTAAAACAGACTCATAAGATTATGTTCCACAATTTCTAAAAAAAACATGTATTAAGCACTGGTGGAAAATATTTCTGTTCAGAACCTTTATATGCAAAAACTCGATTTCAAGATGAAATGCAGCAGAAATGACCTTTCTCCTGTTTCAATTTTAGCAACATTTACTGAAGTTTGGTATGGACATTGAGTTGTTCCACAAGTGCACTCAATATCAAAACTTTTGCACTTTAAGAAGCTATTCTTAAATACCCTGTTTTGAAAAGTATCATTACATGAATTTTGGCTTCATGAAGTCATACTTTATGGAACAAATAAGAGCTAAAAAGAGTCTACAGGGCTGGTGCTGTCTCTACAATGTCCAGCTTAAGCTGAATGCTAAAAATACTGAAAGGTGAAAGAAATAAAGACTTCCAGGATTATTCATCAGTAATTTTGGCATAATATTACTTTTTAGATTTTTACTTATAGCTTGTTTGTGTATATGTCCTTTCACAAGTCGATCCTGTCATCTAAGAATGCATTGCAAAAAGAAGGAGCCACCATAGCATCATTTAAAGGCCAAGAGCTGCAACCTCTGAAGAAAGGCCTTTTTCTTGAAAAACATTCTTTCAAAACAAAACTTTCAACTTCTGTTTAATACTAATATCAAACATTTTAATAACAACATCTATTTATCCTTCATATTCTGCACATTTTAAGATTGTTTTGAAACTGGTCAAAAAAGATTCACCTGTTATTAAAATGGCCAAGAAAAAGACCTGTTAAGTTTAAGGCAGAACTTCAGCAGCTTATAAATAGTTATGTGAATGGCATGGACTGTATAACATGAAACCAGTAAATTTTACTTCATAATAAAAGAAATTTCAGTTCAGTATATTTTATTGTTTATTTCACAAGTCTTTTCATCATATGTAAAGCATGCAAGTTCCCACTGTAGAGTATAGGAAGGATTAAAAACGTAACTGTAATATTTGAAATTAATTTTATCATCACACATTCCTTATCAATATTGCTTTAACTGTGTTATTAATTTTAAAGAGGAGTTATACTCAAATGTCAAGATAAAAGATATAAATGAGAAACATGAATAAAATCAGATTGGGTAAGGCCATCTGGAGTTCCTTCTGCCTCAAATTCATATGAAACTATGACAGTGAATTAGAAAAAAACACATCTAAAGTGGAAGGAGTTACTGGAAATAGTCCCTTACTAAACTGCCAAATAATTTATTCAATCACCATGTCAATAATGGATGAACGTCCTCACTTTCAGAAACAATTTGTATGTATACAATGGTAAAGCACAACAGCAGGATCACAGCAGTTTGCTCCAACACAGGATCAACTGTTTCAAAATGAGAGCAGACATTACTTCTTATGTAGGGAGAAGATGGGGAAAGGAGCAGAGGCAGGCCAGAGAGGATACAGTAGGTGAGCTTCAAAACCCAGTGTACAAAACCTGCCTCAGTTCATTGACCTAATGATCCTCATACACTGGAAATTCTCACAGTTGCCTGTGAGGTAGAGGTAATGAGGTGCCTAAGAGATAACGAGGCTTTCTTTTGATGTTCACTTGTTTGAAGGATACAGGAGATCACTGAAAGTTAAGTTTCATATTCCTAACTTAGGAACTCATGATATATCCATGCAGCAAATGATTCTACTGGCTTTGGTATGAGATGTCACTCAATTCAATTTCTCTTATGTAATCAGCCAGAGCCTAAAATGACCAGTTGTAGTACAAGATGGGACAACTTTATTTAAGGGGAGAAAAGAGAGTTTTGTCACACCATAAAGTGGCAAAAGTACACAGCTTCGATACCCCTACATAGTGTGGCATCTATACTATGATCTCTCATAATAAGTTTCTAAAGAAAAACAATCCTTGAATATTTGCCCAATATTTATGAATAACTGTGTTAACTGTGCAGAGAAACGCCATTGCTAAAAATGTTCCCTTTCAAGTTTGGACAATATATCTTTTTTCTTTTTATCATTTTGTTCCCTTCTCCAGAAAAATGAAAATCTTACCTTACTAAATTCGTCATTGCTAGAATCTCTGGATCATTTTTGTATGGTTTAGCCTACACAGAACAGAAAGCATAATATGCAAATTCAGATTTTTTTTTCCATTTCCATCCTTTGGGTAATTTCTCTATATATTCAGAAAAGGGTGAGGGGATGGGGGGTGGGTGTGTGTGTGAAGGAGAAAGAAAAAAATACCTCCTGAGAATCAAATGGATTTATTCCAGACTTCATGAGCATGTTTGCTAAGACCAAATATTTTAAGCAAGTGGTTCTTCTGGGGCTCCCTGATTCATCATAATTCTTGAATGCTTCAAAAAAATCAGTATGTGCCTTTTCAAACTCTCCTTCTCTTAAGTGCATTTTGCCTCCACATTCTGAAAAGAAAACAGAGATGAAAAGGAACACTGTGTGCTTGTTGCTGACTACAATAATTGTACTCAAGTTCCATGCTATTTCTAAACAGATTACTGAAACATTTTCAGAAGTGATTTGGTTCTCAGAAATCATTAGGAAAAAAAAGCATTAAGGTCTTAACATATAGCACTGCCATTTGAATAAACTCATTCCAAAGAAGAAAAAACAAAACCCAGCCTACACCATAGAACTTAAAGAACACTAATCCTCATAGCCAATAATTACATCACCATTATCTTAAAATACTGCAAAAGCTGAGATAGAATTTACCTCCATTTCAGTGGCAACAGACTTTGCATATTTATGGAATTTTCCCTATCTGTTAAGCAAAAACACACAGCAAAAATGAGAAATACTTTCTGTATCCTTTTATTTCTGAAGTACCCACTGCTGCCTGATTGTCTGTGCAGTATCTACACCAGGGAAAGGGGGAAGGCATAACAGTGTTCTGAAGAAAGCTGTTTTTTTTTTCAAGACACATGGCTTGTTTCCACTACAGTTCATTATTGCAGATAATGAATTATATTTTCAAACACATCTTAAAGCCCTTTGGTTCCTGCTGAGTTTTAGTGAGGTAAGACACAAATTTATAAAAGGAGATTGCAGGAACAGCAGCCCTTCTGCCAGCAGTCCCTTCTGCCAGCAGTCCTGTCAAGCCTTTGTTTTCATGCCCTGCAGATGCCTTTGCATTCTTCTTTTGCTGCCTCCCCTGGTCAAACAGCAAGTCCTCCTCTTGTCCTTCTACTGCTTCTCTCCTAACAGTTATTTAGCCAACTGTCCTGCCCTTCTGACCAGTGCCTCTGGTACTTGGGCACCAAAACTGCAGAGCTGAAGTCCTGCAAGAAGAAAATGATGAGACTGAATCTACAGAAGCCTCTGTCTTTATAGGTGGAACTGGAAGAAAACCACTGGTTATCAGATTTTCATGGAACAAATCTCTGCAACAGAAGACAAATGAAAAATTCAAGGTGAACTTGCCTCTGATAACTCCCATGATCAGTGGATGAGGAATGGCTGACTTGATGTGCAATGACTGTTCATATAGTGCTTTAAGTTTTTTGTTATTTTTCTGTGCTGTATACATTTGAATTTCCAAAGCATAGATTTCCAATAGTTGAGTACCTTTTTTTAGATCATCTTCCCCATCATCAGTCTAGGACAGATTAAGTAATAAATACTGTGAAATTTTAAGAGAACAGCAATTTCAGTTTTATACTAGTAAAACACTGATAACCAAATACTCTCAGTAATTTCCTGTCAAAAACAAGGATATTCCTTAAACTCTGAAATTCTGATGTAACTACTTACAGAAAACATAGTACTCAAAGAACTTACCACAGGCTACATTTTGAAGCCCTTTATTTAAAACATCATTATTTCCTATTGAATGTTTTTCTCAAAACTTTAATTCTTTTCCACTTTAAGCCACACTCTTAGTATATAAATACAACTGACACAAATGCATACATATATATATATATATAGGTAACACATATGACTCTTCTGCTACCTCTAACAAAACCATTTCCCAGATATTTGTAACCTATTTCCATACTGAAGGAGGAAAAGTGTCAGAAACAAGCACAGCAGACTGCATGGCTAATTTATTTTTTCCCCTTCCAGATGGGAAAGTAACAACTGCACTTTCAGTTTTGAATAAAGCTCACTTGGAATCTTTGCTATATTTTAAAATGAATATTCATGCATTATGGATTATTGATATGTGCTTCTCATCCTTGCACCTGAAGTGAAACCCTATCAGCAATTGTGAATAATTTTTTAAAAATCATCTTTAAGGAAAGAATAAAGCACTTAGCATTTTTTGTTCATGTTATCAAGCACATAACAAGATCAGGCACAGTATTTCTTCCCTCTGTACTAAAGCTCAGCAAAATGCCTCAAAGGCCAACAACAGATACATTAAAAAAAAAAAGCATCAATGCTGTTTACTAAGGCACGGTGATTTAGAATATAAAGGTACCTGGCATGACTGATGCAGCTGACGCAGAATCTTTTGTAACTTTCCATATTCTTCTCGTTCTAAATATAATTTGCCAAGCTGTAATGAAAAGAAAGTTCAAGTACTGAGGTCTATTAAAATTTCACAATTATAATTTATAAGAATTAGCTGAAGGTGTCAAAGAAAAGCAAAAAATAGGAAGTTATATATTTTACCTTTGTGTTTGTCTTAAACCACAATCTATCATTCTTAGCATCTTTCAGAGCTTCAAGTGTTGTTTCATAGAATTCCTGAAGCAAATCCATCTGACATAAAAAATCAGAATTCTATAATTGTAAACAGCAAATTTGTACCTGTTAATAAAGTCAATCTGAACAAACTAAAAGTGCATGCTTGAACTTCAAAATAAGAAAGGTATCTGCATCTTACTTAATGTTTGCATTTAAACTGCAAACAGCTTCTAAAATAACCAAACTGACTACATTACCTTTTTTTCATGAAACAGGTATCATTAAAAAGTATTCACATTTTAAGATCTGTACCCACCTGTGAAAAATGAAAGCCACCTTATAAAACCCATCTTATATAACCAAGGAACAGAACTCTGATGTTTTGTAACAAATACAGGCAATATTGCTCCCACTTAAAAGAATAAAAATAATTTACATATCAAAAAGAAAATATGCTTTACAAAAAAGAGGAATAGGGTCAAAGGAAAAGATGCCTTCTTCTTTCTGGAGTAGCAATGCTGAGTGGAAGAAAGCTCTTGAGTGCATCAAACTAATTCTTGGCATAAAGCCAAAAAACCCCCATCTGAAATGGGAATTAAAGTGCTGAGTGTTACCTTTTACAAGGGTTCTACAAAGAATGCATTAGTATTGCTCATGGCCACTGTTCCTTTGGGGTAACAAATCTGTGACTATATATCAAATTAAGATTTCCAGACTGTCCCTCCAGGTCTGGCTCAACTACAAACCAGAGACACTGAGCTCTGCCAAGAAGGGACAGTCTGAGACAATCCTGTAGACCTCAGAGTAACGCAGCATTCAACTGCCACCTCTAAGAGTGACAGGATTGTGATCATGACCAAGGACTCAGCACTGAAGACCAATGATCCTCCATATGAAGGTGCTACTTCAGGTAGTCAGTGAGGGGAGTTTCCTTCTCTTTGTAAAACTTCTACAACAACACAAAAGGAGCTGAGCTCTGTATCTATGGACATGTAGCAGCACAGTGCACTGGACAGGCAGTATTTCACACCAACACTTCATTGCAAAGTTTCTCCTTTGCCCCCAAAATAAAAAAAACCCACATTATTTAATTTAAAATTATATTTGAGAGGGCACTTCTATTGTGTAGCTATGCTAAAAACGAAATAGAAATTCCAGGTAAATGTTGTCAAAAAGGACAACTTTATGAAGATTTATCTGTGCTAACAGAATCCACTACTTGTGGGAAATATATTTTTACATATGACAGTAAATGAATACTCAAAATTCCTCTATTAAGATCAAAAAAGCCCAAACCAAACATAAAAAATGTCCACAGTTAAAAATGCAAAACTGAAAACTATGAAGATGAAAGAATTGATGATCCAACCTGCTTGGAAGTAGAGATATAATCAAGAATAGAATTGATGGATTTTTCCGAGTAATTCCTTGTAACTGCACTCCGTATGTAGGTCAATAGCTGTTTATACCTATTCATCATTTCAGGAAAGTTAGTCTAAAAGAAAAACAAAATCACATTATAATATTTGTTTTAATTGTTGAATCTAAGATATCTTGCAAGTTTACATGCAGGAAAAAAAAAGCTTAAAGAAAGACAATACAGTAGTGGTTGCTATTAAAACTTTCATATCACCACTTCATTCATAACCTGCAGAATCAGAAATAACCTCAGGACTGCATAAAACACACATCTAAAATATTCATCTCAATGAAGAAAACAGGGCATACAACTCTTTGGAATGGCTGCATACATAGCATATACATTTTTCTGTTTTGTCCTGGTGCAGTACACACAGAGAAACGTGCCCACTGTCAGTGGTGTGACACCTCAGCACAGCAAGGACTGAGCCTCACACTTTCATGCAGTACCAGCTGACTACAGCAGTTATTTTGCATCCATTTTGCCTTTGTCTTGCAAACACCACATAATTTCCCTGCCATGTCTGTAGAAGCCATTAAAGGCTGTAAAAAGCAAGTTCTGGTAGATTTAGTTGTCATAGCCATAAATTAGGACACTAATTTAAGATCTCTGGACCAAATACATATTTATGCTATTTACTCCCAAGTGATAGATGTAATTCCTACCAATTTAAAGTTTATTTTAATCATCTGTTTCAGAGCTTTGAATCCCCATTCTCCCTTTTCGCCTTCGAGCTCCAAAACCTGAAAAAGAAGAATTTTTAAAACTATATTTATAAAAGCTTTATTCAAACTTGAATTGTCTAAAATATACATATCTCATACATGCCCTCCCACCCCCACAACTTTGCTTCTTACAAAGTAATGTTTGACTCTGCCCTGTTCTTCAATTTTATTCTTTCCTGTTAATACTGAAAAAGTGAGAGTGTATCTCCTCAGTTTTCACAACTTAGCTGACATAGGGAGGGTGAACATGATTGTTGCTGTTGTTGTTGTTATCATCTAACAGCAAACACTTTATTGCCAAACACTAAATTTTAACACCGCTCCATAAACGTGTCAGCAAAAATAGTTGTAACACCTCCTGCAAAACTGAGTCAACTGAATTTTGACCAAATTAAGTTAAAAAGCCCTTCTGAATTACTATGAAGAAGATTCCTTCACAAAGGAGAAAGGCTTCTAGGTTTTAATGCAGCATAGTTAAGGAAATGTTTTGTAAGTAAAAACTTTAGAAAGTTTTTTTTGACGTCATGTACATAGTTTTGCTATACACTATAAATGAGCAAAGAGATGCAAAAATCTATTTTTTCTTTTAAAAGTTGCATCTTACATACTGCTTTCTTATAGCAGTGTGCAAACATTAAAAATTTAAAACTGAGATGAAGAAAAGAAACTATGTTAGTTAGTATTTACACATTTAAAGGTCTGGAATCAGATAGCAAAGCAAATATAATGTTACATAAGACACTGGGGAAAACACCATTTTATTTAAAAAACCTAAATGGATCTGGTTTCTATTGTTGATGCATGAAAACACATTTAGAACTGTTTAATTAACTTTGTAAATCCTGAAGATTAAAAAGTCAGATCTGTGATAAGACTATACCCTGTCCTATTTGTTCTCCCTAAGAATGATCCTGAAAGGCAGTCAGCCAGGAGTTTAAGATACTCAATAATAAACTTAGCACATTAGTAATTTAAAAGATAAATCCTACTCTTAAAATTTCAGAAAATAACTCAAATAGTACCAAATTTTTAAAATGTGAATTAATATAAAAAGAAGAGATAGAATAGAAAGACAGACAACCTTCTGAAAACTGCTTAATGCTGCTTTGGGGTCATCTTCCTTCAAAGCTTTGGAATTGTAGTATTGATTTTCCAGATCCACATTTGGTTCAGAATTGCTGTCCTCAGAATATTCCTACATTTCAAGAAAAAAAAATAATAATCAGAGAAAAAAAAAAAGAAATAATAATCAGAAAAAAATCTGCTGAAAAATAGTAATACATAGTACTCCAACTGGCACAGAATGCTTGTGTATGAAGAGGCAGTGTTTGGTTTCAGAGCACAGAACAGGTATGGACCCATGTAATGATTCTCCCTCTCTCCCATTCCAGGCCAGGCTCACCATCCACCAACATTTGCTGTCAGCAGGTTTCTTTCTGGGTTCATGAACTCATAGCTCCACCAACCTCACCTTTATGACAAGTACAGATTGGATTACTGAAATTCTGCCAATGCTGGAGTTTCAGCACAGAGGCCCAGAGCACCTGGCATTTCTGGGAGGGGGGAGAACACACTGCCCACTGCTCCTCCTGAAGGCACTCAATGATGCAGCCTTTGGTAGGCACAGAAGAGGCTCTGGTGAGCTGTCACACAAGGAATGATTCAGCCATGGAGGGTATCAAATACGTCCATGAATCCCTCTGTAATCTGCCTTTCTATGCCACAACGATTCATCCTTGTCTAAGGAAATTTAAAAAAAGAATAATGACAATAACACCAGCTGCTTATGCCCTGAGAAGCAGGAGATGATTATGAAAATGCTAAAAATGCTGCCAAAGATGTTGGGGCACGATAATTTAATCAAATAATTATCCATCATGCACACTAGTGCCAAAGAAACTGAAGTATTTACTTCTAACAGTTGCTACTTAATTTTTTTAGGAAGTACTCTGAGACTACTTCTGATGAAAAATCCCTGCATATTTTATCTTCTTTTGCTAAAGGACAATGCTGCATGTCCAAATTACAAAACACTAATAAAGTTCAAATAATAATTTCATTTGATATTTACATGATTCAAAACCACTTCACACCTCTGCATTTTCAAGCTAACTTCTCTGAACAGGATTTTGGCTATTAGGAGATGAACTGTTCCAACACAATCTGTTTAAATCTCAAAGTTGCTGCTGTCAGAGTAACTTTCCCTTGCACCAACATAAGCAATGCACAGTCAGGTTCCTTCCTTTAGGGTGGATTTTACTCTTGCTGTACTTTGTCAGGCACATTTATTCTTTCGTTCATTTGTATATTCCTACTATTAATGGACTCCTCCAAAACCATAGGAAGGAATGAAAAAAGATGAGACAAAAGAAAAGTTTTAAATTAGCTCTCTCCTCCCTGCACTGCAAGCAATCTCTCAAAGTTCAAGTTTGCTGAAGTTCTAAAGTAAAAATGAATTATGGGAGCCCACAGTCAAACCAAGTTTTAATAAACATGGTACTTGAGACATTTGTCCTTCTACCTTTTAATGTTTCTATTTGTAACATGTAGGCAAGTTGCCCAGGTATGTATTTATTTTCACCCACGAAGTACTATCATTAGTGAGAATGAATGGACTGAAAAGTCTTGTGAATTCCACCAACCTGTTTTCTGAATTCCCACAGAAGTATAAAAATGTGATACTGAAAACAGCAAAGAAAACAGGAAGCAAGTGTCTTATTTAATTGGGCAGTGTCTCATTTTGGTTGGCTTGTTTTTGTAAACTCCTTATCCTATCGATCCAACTCCAGTGGAGCAGCTATGGGCACAACCCGATGTCAACAGCTGTATCAGGCACCTTATACACACAGGCTGCCAAAAAATAAACAACAAAGCATTTAAGATATGTGTAATCAGCTGATGTCTTGTTAATGCTTAACTTGGACAATGGGGAATATTTTTGGCAGAAGTGTCTGTTTGCAAAGATAAAAGGAAAGCAAACTAAATTAATTCCTTTTAGGAGACAACGTGCTCCATTAGCCTCAAGCCAGAAACATGTGAACTTTCATCTTCACTCTGGCAATGATTCTGGATGTGGATTCATGCAGAAAGCCTTTTTTCAGATAATTTTTCTCAATGCTACTTAAATATCCCATAAAGATAATTTCATAACATTAATACATAATAAAGAAGTGTTAAGTCTATTGATATTTTTTCCCCCCAGTGGAAATGCATTGAAATTCATAAAAAGTACTGGTTTACATTTTCACAGCTATATTTTTTCTTCACTTGATGCCTATGTGCATCAGACTTAGGATGATGATATGGACTCAAAGCTGTAATGGAGATAAGGCTTTCCTACTTCCAGAAAATGTAAGGTGGTTTATTTTTAAAAAGACATATTTAGACTTAATGGCTGTGAAAACTTTAAAACCTCCAACTAAGTATGAGCCGATGCCATTAATCTTTAGACAATGTTAAAAAAACCAAACATCAGCCATGTAGATACTGAATCTTATTTCAAGCACTGATGCTCATTATGCCAGTGCTGATATTCAGAAGGACAAGCACTCTGTCTTCTTTTGATGCAGAGATGGCTTAGTGCACTAGGATACAAATGCAAGAACATTAAGCTTCTGCCAAAAGCAAAAAAGGAGGAAAGTATAAAGCTGTGTCCTGAAAGATCCAATTAAGAAAAAGATTAATTTCCTTCTCAGTTCTGAAAACAGAAAAGTTCTTTTAACAATGAACTCAGATAGCAAGAGCCTAGCCTTTCCTCACCCTCATTTTCAATACCCCTAGTTCCTGCCTGAACAACTTCCCCAGCTCAAACCTTAGAGGTAGAAAGTTTGCTGCAAATTAGGTAGAAATATATGGTTTACAAATAGGATTTCTACATAACTCTAAAAATTTCCACTACAGCATCCAGACCTAACAATTTGCATAGTGACGAACATCCTTAATTAGAACTTTGAGATATAAAAGCAGCCGGATGATATAATTTATCTCTAGCTGATGTAAAAAAAGTAAGAGGCCTAGGAATTTTTAAAACTAAGGTCCTGTTTATATTTTTCAAATGAACATCAACATTATAAGTACAAATGAAAAAAAAAGAGCAGTCTGAGTACACAGAAACCCATTGCTCTTTGAAACCCATTGAAATGTTCCTTCCTCTGAGGATCATCAAAACAAACAATTAGGGTTTTTATCATCACTCAAGAAATTTGAAAGCCCTGGTAAGAGCTTGAAAAAATGCAGTTAAATAAGTTAGGATATTATTTAAGCATTGCTATGTTGAAAATCTTAATGTTCTAAATGTAATCAGTTATATTCAATCCTAGGCCATCCCATTGCTTTTTGGAGGAAGAGAAATTACTACACTAGCTCAATTGTAACAGAGATAAAACCTCTGATGGAGTTTACCCTGTCTGGAATATAGTTCTTTCAAATAGTTTTAATAAAAGTTAAATTAGTATCAAGAAACCAATTTATTCAAGAAGTCTTTATTATGTTACATATTAAGTTTTCATAGAATTTTATCTAGTAAACAGCTTTAAAACATTGAGCCTCAGCTTGTAAAATGAGCACTCCCAGAAGTCAATTCACCCGAGTCAGCTTTAGTCACCCTTTTCAGAGCCCGGGTCCATGTGCAGTGTGTCCAGCAGCAAAGGCACGAGAACAGCACCCAGCACCGGCTCCTCCCCAGCCCTGCTCCCAGCCTGCCCCTTCCCATCCCTGCAGCGGGCAGTGCCTTGGGCTCTTGGGCTCCGTGCTGCTTTCTGAGAACTGGGGCAGGAGCTTTGGCACTGCGGCCTCCAGAGATTCCAGGTGCTGAGGCACGGCCCCTGTGCTGGGGGCCAGAACAGCGACAGGGACAGGAGACCATAGCAGTGCATCAGGGACATGTCAGTGTACACGTGTGGCATTCTGTCTGTCAGAGTGGCACACTGACCTGGTAAAGCTCTACATCAATAAAAACAAAGATACAAGTATTTTATGAAAACTACTGTTGTTAACCAATTTTCTGGTCTCTTCACTTGCCTGAAGCACTTCTCTAATTTCTACATCTACTTCTTACCTAAACTTGTGCTCCTCTGTTTATCATTTGCCACCACTACAGGAACTGAATTCCTACTTTGCCAACCTTTTTTAATAAAAGGAGTAGGGGGAAAGCAGCTATATACAGGCAACTTTCCAGAAAAAAAGACAATACAAAGAGTTCTATTTCTGTAAAAAATTATCTTTCAAGGACATTGTTGCAATACTTATTACTGTTAACTGTCAGTTGCTGGTGATTTTACCAAATTTCATCCATTTGGCTGACTCAAACAATTTATTTTTTTATGAAGTGCAACTGTTTCTGAGAACAAATCCGGTACAAATTTGATTTTACTTCAGCTAACTTTGTTTCATAACCATGGCATTAGGAGGTCTAATGCACAACTTTCTTTGCATTTGCTCCTGCTCACCTGCAGGCAGCAGGACAAGCAGCAACTACCAGGTTCTACCTGCATTTGCCAGTTGGTATCCAGGCACATGAATATAAAGAGAGCAATCAGACTGGAATGCAAAGAGCAAAGAGGAAAAAAACAGAGGCAAACCCTGAGAGTAAAAACCAGAGTGAGATTTGTGTAAGGAGCCTGCAGCCGCACGGCCGTGCATTGGGAGTCCTGGTTTCTTTTCCTTCACATTCCAGGTCTCTGTTCTGCTGCTGCTCCCTAACTCTGCAAGTCATCCAGTGCCTGCTGGCTCACACCAGGGCTGACACCAGGAATAGAAGTCTGTGAAACCAGCGATTTGCAATGGCGTCAAAAGAGTTCCATGAAAAACAGTGTTCTGCCTTTGTTTTATTTTTTTTTTTTCATTTGGAAGATACACAGAAATGAGACAGGAGACTGCAGAAAGGAAAACCTTGTATTATGGCATGTAAAGAGTACAGCAAAAAAGTGCCTTTTCTTTCTACTTCTGTTGTGCAGCTCTGTAGTTTTCTGAAAGTCCAGTTTCCAGCATAACTTAGAGGAAATTTATGTCTGTTTAACACCCAACTGCATATCAGATCCTGGAGAGCACCATTCTAAACACAACCCTAAATAACTGTCAAAAGAAGCCAACGAAAAACCAGAACTTACCAACACTTGTCAATGTTTAGATAGAATTTACTGACTAATTATTCTCAGGCTTTTTGCCTCAATACTCCCTTCTGAGACATTATGGTAATGAGCAAAATAAGCCTCAAATATATTAATTCTGTGTTTGGAGTCTGAAGAGAATGCATAAAAAATATCACAACACATGCTGAATCCATGCAAAATATGAAACAATAACTAATTTAGAGAACAGTACATCCTATGTCCTCTGCTAAGTGCGTTTTTTTTAAAATCACATACTACTGTAATTAAACTTCACTAAGAAACAGAAGAGGGCCAAGTGGATATGCTTGATTTGGTAGATCTGAATACTTGTTTTTACAGCATTACCACATTCTTGTTTGCACCATATATACATATTTCATAAAATGATGATAATAGTGAAATATGAGCAATTGGGAAGAGGAGACAACATCCACATGAAATTTCAACTGTATCTATTAAAATCCAGCAATAAAAGACAGAATAATGCCTCTGTCTACTGATGAGATTGCTTATCAAGTTCGGTAACAAACAAAAATTCCTTTTGCAAAGGACTCTGTTTTTCACTCTGTTGGAAAGAAAGAGACAGCCAACTCATGAAGTTTGAGATAAGTAGTAAGGCTGCCTATGTCCTGATATCATCACATCCTGAAACAGGAAATCCTCAGCAATCTGAAGGATGCTGCTGTATTTGAGTTGTGCCAATCCTCATGGACCTGCAGCCATCTCACAAGGTGCAAACTGAGGGCTGCTCATTGGAATTGTTACAGGTCTCCTACAAGCCACTGCAACAATACAACTTCATAAGGTAAACAGACCAGTTGCTTGGGAATATATTTGTCCAATCTTTCCTCAGATTAATTTTAAATTTGAATTTCAGAATACAGTAAGATGACTCATTAAGAACACCACAGATTCCTTATTTATTTAAAACAAAACAAGTAAACCAGTAGATGTACTACAACAACTGTCAATGTGTTGTCATTGTGCCTGGAAGAATCAATTTCTGGAGGAAGACTGAGTTTAGCCTCCAAGTCAATTCTAAATATAGTCTTTTGTCCCAGACTGAAAACAAAAATGGAATTTACAATGGTCCTTCCCTCTTTGTATTTTTTCACCCTCAAGCTGGATCTAGTAAAAATAACTTGTACTGAAATCATGAAAGGCACCTAGCAGCACCAAACTAAAAATTAAAATTGAGTGGCTTTCATAATGACCAGTAAACATTATTCTGTTCATTGAAGCATAAAGTGGAATAATTCATGTTATAATCAAAGCTGTCACAGCACATTACTAGCAAATTGTGAATCTAGGTTCATCTACCCACAAATATAAAGGAAATTTCTTCCTGATACCAAGATTCTAGTGAATAAACTCCATTTCTGTAGGAGTGGCTGAGGTCATTTACATGTAAAACTTTGAATTTTTGCCTACTGAAAAACTAAACAGAAACAATCCAATAAAACCTGGATAGTCTTCAATTGTTTAACAGTGTAGTAATTACTCTAATTATATAAAATTCCACAATGAAGCTGGGAAAGATCTGGGACTTTGGAATATCTGTTCTCATTTCAGTTCAAGTGTGAAACATTTGCATACTTAAGGAAATTTAACTGACTGGGTCTACATAATCAGCAGGTCAAGTGCACATTGAAGAGGAACAGCCATAATCACTTCTAATAAAAGCTGACAAAATTAATTTTTTGGGGAGTCTTCACTGCAATTGTTATGATGGCAGCTACCCTGGGAGACCTGAACCTAGTTTCACCGTATTTTGACAAAATAGCTACTTCTTTCATTGACTGTTTCTGCAATCACTGCCTTTCCTCTGGTTCTTATTCACAGCACTCACATGCGCTCTTTTACTTTCAATTCTGCACTGATAGGAGTATTATGTCTTGTACTCATTCTTTTGTTGCAAAGCCTCTTGCAGCAGCCCTGATGCTCAACTCCAGAATCACCTCACAGTCTTCTCTTAATTTAACGAGCTATCAACATGAAATGAAGAAATCAGGCCCTACCTTCAGGACCTTTAAGGTTTTCCTGAAACAGTTCTGTGGAACACTACAATTACAGCCTCAAGCATTTCTGAAAACAACAGTCAATCATGGTTTGTTAGTCCCAGAATGCTGAAATTAATCTAGCTGGAATGTTTTTACTCTTCAATTCTTGGGTTTTTTCCCCCATCAATTATGAACTGAAATAAAATTTTAAAACTCTGAAGCTTGGGTATTGGTTGATGCTTTACATGGGTGTTACACACTGAAAAGAAAAAAACTAATGTGCTCCTAACACAAGCAGTATTTTAAGATTTTTGAAAGGTCTGAGCTAAGGGTAATTAATGAGAATGAAAATGTTCCAGTAAAAGTAACCCCAGTCAGAAGTGGAAATCTGCCACAAGCAAGGTGCTTCAGGAAGGTTTTTTCCAATGAGAAATAAAGTACTTCAGAAGAAACAAACAGACAAAAGCACTAGACCAATTATTCTTGGAGAAAACTGACATAAAGCAGTGTAAGTTTGAACTGCACTTTTATTCATATCTGTATAGATTGAAAAATGCAATTCCAATGGTTTCTCTACGTGCCCAGCTCTCATGTTATGGAAGGATATGGAACATGAATTCCACTGTCTTTAATATTCCTCTGACTGTATCACATGGAAAAAAACCACCACAGTATTTCACATCAGGACACAATTTTCAATGTTAATAAAAATGAATGGAAATTAATTTTGGAACAAAATGTTTTTAATGGTCTCTGTGTATTTCCTTCAGTAACCCTGTCTCTACAGTATGTGAATTCATTCATAGACTGAAAGGAGAACACAAACAGTTTTTGGATGGTCTCTGTGTATTTCCCTCAGTAACCCTGTCTCTACAGTATGTGAATTCATTCATAGACTGAAAGGGGAACACAAACAGTTTTTGGAATAGTGACTTGAGCAGCTTGCAGGGTTTTGATGACAATGCCTGTCAAGCAAGCACTCTTACATGAATGGAAAAAAACCCTCAAAACCAAAAGCAGATGCTTTTATTCTATATCTACTGTCATCCAACCATTCTAAGCAGTTCCTAACAAAAACTGCCCAGAAACTATTCCAAATGAAATTAGGTAAACATTTTAAGTGAATTTCTAAGTGGCAATGACTACCAAATAATGTGTCAGAAAACAAGTCTTCCAGAAGCAAGTGTCTGGAGTTTTTCAGTGAAACTGCAACACTGTTAACACAGGTTTAGATGAAATTAATTAAATAGACTCTCAATCTTCTACCATACATAGCTTTTTTTAAAAAAAAAAAAAGTCTCTAGTTCTAAAAACCCACTCAAAGTTCAGAAAAGAAAAAAAACCCAAACAAGCAAACCTCAAGCTCCAATATAACGTAAGGACAATATAAGTATAATTAATCAGACAAGCAGCAATTTTTTAACTTTAAAAGCTTAGGACAAAACTTGATGTTAACATTTAACTAAACGTAACACGAAAACTCCTAAACCTTACAAGTAAAACCAAAAAGGGAGTGGTAGAAAGGTTACAAAGACTATAAAGACAAAAAGTTAGAAATAAGTGCACCCTTCGGCGCGCTGGCTCAGAAACCGGCCGTGAGGCCATTTCTCCTCACTCTCCTTTCTCTTCCCCTTACTTTTCCCCAGTTTGTGGCTCACACAAGGACACGAGCGGTATCTGCCCCAAGGGCCTCTCGCAGTCGCGGGTGGGGAGAAGGGCGGGCAACTTTATCACTTCACTCCGTGCCCGACACTTGGGCCGGGGCAGGAGAGAGGGGAGGATGCAGCGCGCCGGAGCCCTCCCCTCAGCGGGAGCCCTGCGGGGACACCGGGGCCAGCCCGGGGCCGGGGCACCAGCCCGGGCCTATCCACCTGCCCGCCCGGGGCTGGCCTGCTGCTCCGCGGGGAGGCGGCCGAGCGGCTGCTCCGACAGCAGCACCCGCCCCTCGCAGCCCCTGCCCGCATCCTCCTCCCCGCGAGGGAAACTCATCCTGGATGTCCGCGCTCCCTGCCGGGGCAGCACCCGGCGGGGCGGCCGCTGCGGCGGGTGCGCCGCACCAGCAGCGGCCCGCAGCGCCGCCGCGCCGGCGGCACCCCCGGCTGTACCGCTGAGCCCCCGCGCCGCCCCGCGCCCTACCAGATCGTAGTCCTCCTCATCATCGCACATGAAATCATCCTCCATGTCAGACATCTTGGCCGGAGGACGGGCGGGGGGCGGCGGCGGGGACGGCCCCTTCTCCCAGAAGCCCGCGCGGCGCTGCCCAATGTGGCTCCGCTCCGCCCGGAACCCGCTGCCGCCCGCGCCTCTCCCGCCCCCGGCCCGGGGCGCTCGGAGCCCAATCCGCGCCGCCCCGCCGCCGGCTCCCTCCCTCTGGTAGCGACCGGCCCTTGGCAACGGCGGCCGGGCGGGGCCTGGGCACTGCGCGCCGGAACCTCCGGGGCCGGCGCTGCCTCTGCCCGGAGTGCGCCGTGCTGGCGCCGGGGCCGCCTGCCGTGGGTCCGGCTGGGCGCTGCCAGCCCGAGTTCCCCCCGGGGGCTGCGAGTCTGGTGACTGGCGAGTCTCTGGAAAGGTCGAGGGAAGTGATCCTGCCCCTCAGCCCCGATGAGGCCGCATTTGGAGAACCGTGTGCAGTTATGACTTTTACAGTAGAAAAGAGATATGGAACTCCTAGAGCAGGTCCAGCAGAGAGCTAGTAAGTTGGCCAAGAGTCTGGAGATGCCTCTCATGAGGAAGGGCTAAGGGAGCTGGGCCAGTTCAGCCTCAAGAAGAGGCAACTGAGAGGGGCTCCTGTGTAAAGCATGGGTGTCAAGAGGATGGAATTGGGCTCTTCTTTGTGGTGCCATCAAATAGAACAAGGAAGAATGGGCAGAAAATGATGCACAGAAAGGCCAACCTGAGCATGAGGAAGAACTTTACTGTGCAAGTGACCATGTACTGGGACAGATTACCCAGAGAGGTTGTGGAGGCTCCCTGACTGGAGATATTCCAGAACCGTCTGAACACAACCCTGGTCCATGTGCTCTGGGATGACCCTGCCTGAGCAGGGAGGTTGGACCAGATGACCCACGGCGGTCCCGTCCACCCTGACCCATTCTGTGAAAGCTCGGCCTGTTGCTGTGACCAGCATCACTGCTCAGCTTCATTTTGCTTTACTCAGTGCTGCTGAACTGTTTACCTGGGATGCGTTCACCATAAAAAAAATTATACCAGTTTTAAAGGCCTGAACTCTTTAGATCCACAGGCCTTGTAAAGCAATGGCTTTATAAAGATTTTTACATGCTAATTTCTGCTGCTGCCTTCAACTGAGTGAGGCAAAACCCCCAAGTGACTAGCTCTGCCTCCCCATCTCCACAAGGCCTGGGGTTCTCACAGACACACAGATGCATCTACAATATTTACTAGGTTTTCCTATTGTTGGTAATTTTATACTGTTATGGTTTCTGATAGTGGGTTTTTATTTGGTTGGGTTTTTTTTTTTCCCGACAGCTACTGGCAAGTCTTTTAAAAGCTTGTTTGTATTCTACAACTGTACTAAGGGCGAAATAAATATTTTACCTCAAAAGAAAACCCACAATGATATTTGTTATTGTGCTTCCTTCAGTCTGAGCACTTAAAGCTTGCTGAATGGGATGAGTAACAGTAAAATAGATACCAAAATGGACAAAGATATACACCAAAACACTGAGTGAGTGAGCCTGCGAGCACTTTTGAAATGCTCAGTTCCTTGCAAGTATCTGTAGCCATTAATCCGGGGGTAACAGGAGCCACGAGGCCGCCTGTTGGGAGGGGAGCTGGAGGAACCACGCACCGCATAAAACACGGGGACAGAGACACCCATCCCTCCAGGCCATGAGGGATGTGACCGTCCATTATTTTTACCGCTGGTGCATTTTGCAGGAGCACCGGCAGGAATACCGGGAAACCCCAAACATTTCTTTCGCACGTCGCAGCAGCGTCCCCGTCCCAGCTGGGCTGTGGCGGCCGCGGGGCCGAGTGCGGAGCGGCTCCAGACCGAGCGGGCCGCGGGGTGTCCAGGGCCGAGCACGGCCGGCGGGGCGGGACGGGGCCGGGCCGCCGGCGCTGCCGCCCGGAAGGACGCGGCGTTCGCCTGCCCCGTGACCGCGGCCCCGCCGGAGCCGCCTCAGCCGGGCCCGCGGTGCAGCCGCCATGGCGGGGGACAGCCCCAGCGTCCTCCCGGTGCAGCTGGTGGAGCAGCCCAGGTGGGTGGGTCGCTCCCCGACCCCGCCGCCGCTTATCCCGGGCCGGGTGGGCGGTCTGCGGGCGGCCGCGGGGGCTGGGAGTATGGGTGGGAAAGCCCGTCCTCATGCTCCGGGCTGAGGTGCGAGGAGGTGTGGACTCGTAGCGTCCACACTCCGTAGGTTTTCCCCTGACACGACCAAAGACTCCTCGGGAAGGTCCCGCTGGCCGGGGCGCGCCAGGCTCCGGCCCTACAGCATCCCGGCCCGCCCTGACGCCCCTCGCAGGGTGGCGCTGGGGCAGCAGGAGGAATCGTTCGTTCATTCATTCATTCGTTCATTCATTCGTTTAGTCATTCATCATTTCGCCTACGTCATTTTCCCCCTAGAGTTTTTGGGGAATGCTGATTATTCTCTCGTCCTTTTTTCTGGAAAAGCCCTGGAGCAGCGCTAGCCTGGCCCGTCCTGGGAGTGGCTGCGGCACCTGCCAGCGCCCGCTCCTTGCCCGCGGAGTTGCGCTCGGTGTGTGCAATGAACACACACACACACGAACCTTTCCGCTTGCTCGGTGTGTGCAATGAACACACACACACACGAACCTCTCCGCTTGCTCGGTGTGTGCAATGAACACACACACACTCACACGAACCTTTCCGCTTGCTCGGTGTGTGCAATGAACACACACACACACGAACATTTCTCCTTGCTCGGTGTGTGCAATGAACACACACACACAGACGAACATTTCTCCTTGCTCGGTGTGTGCAATGAACACACACACACACGAACCTTTCCTCTTGTTCGGTGTGTGCAATGAACACACACACACGAACCTTTCTGCTTGCTCGGTGTGTGCAATGAACACACACACACACACGAACCTTTCCGCTTGCCTTAGCGCTGCACAAGGGGCACTTCTTAAAACGCCGCTTACTTGCATAGGATTGCACCGTAAATCTCACGGAAACGACGAGTCCAGCATTTCCAGACTTGGAAGTGTGAAGCTGTGAGGAGTGCCTTTCCTTTAAGGCTTCTGACAATTTTCTTCTTGATGGAGGTGCTTGAAATGCAAATGTGTGTCTTGCAACATCAAGGCCAAAGCCTGTAAATAGCCTTTCATCACGCCTGCTTGTAAAACCCACATTAAAAAAAGAGATCAGTCAGCACTTAGATAAACATGCTCTAAAGACTGCTTTGTTTGTTGTCTCTTGGTACCAACACTACTATAAAAATATCTGTGAAACAAAGCAGCATTCTAAATACTGAAACAAAAAGGAATAAAGTTAACACCTAGAATTCTGCCAACAGATTCCCCTGTGGACTATAATATTATTAATGTGATCTAGAGAAGGGATTGAACAATGAAATGGCAGAAATTGCTTTTGCTAATTGGATGAGCGATATACCAGTCAATACTAGGGGAGATTATAAGAAGGGGAAATCACAGACCTAATACAGCTTTGTAACAGGGCACAAAGATAGGTACTGAAAGATCTGTTAAAAAATATCACAACAAATCATATTTTGTAGCTTTCCATTTATAAAAACCTTATGAAACATTTGCATAAATGTAGCTGAACAGTAACGCAGCCTTTACAAAGATGTAGAAACAAAGTAATTGTGGAATTTTCTAACATCTGTTTTTCATTGCAGTCTTCTTACTTCTACTTTGCATTAACTAGGTTTCCAGTTCTAGATTTAGATTAAATGTAGAAACCTTATCAGGGTTCCTGTTACTAGATTTTTGTCAGTAGACTAAAATTTTGCTTTAAGGTAGTTTCAAAATGAATTACTATCAAGTTTCCTATGCTTCACTAAAATAAATTGCTTCATCTGTTCTCAGCCCTTGTTTTCCTTCTGCATGACACACTAAAGTGTTCCAACTTTGCAAACATCAGGCAGAAGGTTGGCACCTTTACAGTTGCAGGAAGTAAAGCAATATGACAAAGTTTATTTGCTTTGAACTTGCAGTAGCACATCAGGTACCTCTAAATGGAAAACCTGAAGTACTTTTGCTGGAATCCTGTGGAGTAAATACTGTCATAAGTCATGGGGATAATCTGACGTTTGGAATTTTAGTTCTCTGTGTGTGTATTTATACAAAGATGGGGTAGTGCCAAATATGAAAATTGATAAAAATCAAAATCTAAGTAGAGTCTTCAATGTTATGTGAAGAGCACAAATAACCAGCTTAATGTCACTCCTGATGTAGCAGAGAAAACTCCACATACTTCAGGAAGGTGAACAGAATTTGCTTCAAGAAGCATTGAAGCTTCCTGTGTTTTATGCAAATGTAGTCCTTCTAAATGTTTCTAACCTGCCTTTCAGATTGCAGAAACTGAAGGAGATGTTTATATCAAAGTTTGGATCAGCTCCCAAGTTTTATGCTCGTGCACCAGGACGAGTCAACTTAATAGGTAAAAGAGAAAAATTAACCTTATGTTGTTTTACTTCATCTGTCATCATGGAAATCTAGTAGTTTAAAACACAGAATGGAAATGCTGGTCTTAATTTTATTTTTTCAGAGAAGTTTCTTGTTACAAATGGAAAATCATATATAATTTAGTAGTTTTTACTGTATCTTATTATAAACAACTCTACATGGATATCAATTTTGGAGAAAAACATTTATAGAGAATAGTGATGGTTTTGAAAAGTGGAGTAACTTGCCAGCTTTTTTGTTTTTAATTAATTAAAGTTACCAAATATAACCAGCCCCACAACAATATACATGATAAAGCATGAAATGATTCTACCATCATCTCTTGATTACTCTTTACATAGATATGTGTCCACAGAACTTAAAATAGTGGATGTGATTCACTGGCAGGCTGGAGAGTCACAATTATTTTGTGTTTAGGACTTACTTTTATTTCTGTAGCAGCCTTATTTTCTTAGATTTCTCTGTCGTGTTAGGATTGTGTTCTCTCTGGAGCTGAGTTTCTTGCATAAAATAATCCTACACATTTGAAGACGTAGTAAAAGGATCCTGAGAAACAGAGCTGTAAAAGTCAATTAGTTTATTATGCAGTTAATGTTAATTTTTATCTCTGTGTTGTGTGAACATCTCATATAGCCTAAATGGACAGCATATGGTAACTGGGAAGTATTCCCAAGGGAGAGATGTTTACTACATACATTTTCTATTTGATTGTTACTTCATGTGTTGTATGCAACTGTATTAATAATTATTTAAATATAGTCATTATCTTCTTGGAAAAAGCTCCAGAAATTGTATGTACATCACAGTTCTCATTCTTGGACAGTAATCAACGTGGTGGGGGTTTTTAGAATTTTTGTAAGCCAGTGTTAAAAGATGAACATTTATAAACAGGTGCAATAGATAAAAGTCACTAAAGAAATAAAAACTTTTTGTGAAGTAATAAGAAATGGAAGAAATGTACCCCAAACTTTAGGTAATAAGAGTTGAAACTACAGTAAGAAATTGTCTCATCCAGTAAACAACACTGAAGCCCTGTAGAAATTGTGTTAGTGCTATTCTAGAAAGAATTATTACAAAGTATTTTCTTTGTTTCTTTGCTAGGAGAACACATAGACTACTGTGGTTATGCTGTGCTCCCCATGGCTATAGAACAAGATATCCTGATTGCAGTAGAACCTGCACAAACTCAAGTTGTGCAACTGGCAAATACCAATTCTTCATACTTGTATGTGATTACTTTGTTTATTCATTATTTTTTATGAACTTCTTCATGCATTGCAATACAGTTTACCTTTTCAGAGATCTGACAGACTTCCATTGCAATACAGAGTCTGATTGTGTGAACAATTTATATCAGCAGATGGAATCCCACAGACTGACTCCATGCCATGTCTATTAGTTCAGAGCAATAGCTTTGCAGCTGCTATCTCCCACCTGTTTGTTCATATTACTCTGTAAGGCCTATGACTTTTCAATCCTTCTAAAATTCTGCAATTCTGTCCTCCCTTCTTTTATCTCATCTTTCTTGATATAATCCCCATAACTGGCAGCAGCTCCATGTCCCCTGGAGAAGGGACTGAAATGTTTTGTAATCAATTACTGCAAAAGTAAGGTAAACACTCCCCCCTCTGCTCTGGAGAACCTGGGCCTGTGTTTTCACAGCACAACAGCTTTAGCAACAATGCTGGCTCAAAAAACCTGTATTCCCTCACTTCCACTTCCTCCACAGCTGTTGTTCACAGAATTATAGGGCAATTTAGGTTGGAAAGAACCTTTGAAGATCCCTTGTAAATAATCTTGTTGGCCTTCTGCTGAACTCCCTGCCAATGTCTTTCATGTATTGGGAAACCCCAAAACTGGATGCAATATTCCAGCTATGGTCTCACAAGTGCTGAACATAGGGAAATAATCCTGCCACTCTTTTCAACTTCAGGCACGTTTTTCTGCCTTTTTGTCACAGACTGATATTTGTGTAGTTGCATGGCAGTTCAGATCAGGTCACTCACCCACATGAGCTTTTGTGGGCATTTCCAAAAATGAGAATCAGCAAAAGCTTAGTTTAAGCCATTTTTATTGAGCCATTGGCTTAATTGGTAAATTAGTTCCTGAAAGCACAGTGTGTGGCAGCACAGGGACAGGAACACACTGTCAAAAGTGGGAAATACTTGAGCACTTATTCCTGCTTAAAGCCCAGTTTGTTATAAACACATTCTGAACTGCTGCCTGTGACTAAGACAGTTCAAAGGAATTTGTACTTCCATGCTAAGTATAAATACTCAGAGATTTTTCACTTTGTGGAATATGTTTTCACATTATAGATGGGCTGAATTAGGAGTTTGCCACTGCCAAAAAGCAATGGCTTGACTTCTTTTACCTCTAGTCTCCCTGTACCTGCTTATAAAATCAACTCAGCCTCTGCCTTTTGGCAGGTGTAGAGTACTTGTTTGATCTTAAGGTAAAGTGCACTCTTCCTCCATTTTTTGCTTGGATAATTTTCTGTCATTTTAGTGAATTGCCATGCACTCAGCACTAAAGCTGACTTGGGGTAAACAGTGGGAAAAAGCAGTGGTGAACAGGGAAGGGAAATGGAAGGTATGCATGGGACTTTTCTCTTTCTTCAACAGCAACCTCCCGCCAGGGCTTAAGCTGTGTTGCAAAACCATTCTGCAAGAGACAATAGCTTCAGAATTACAATAGTTTTGACTAGGACAAGTTGTTATAGTGAACACAAAATAAAGCAGTAATAGAAAGGTAAACATTTTCACTCAGTCTTCAAGCTTTGCTGCATTATATTGCAATTGAAATGGCCTTCTCAGGACAGTTCCACAAAATGTAGAATTACAACCTTTGAATTTAAATTGCACACACTGTCACTATATTTTTACATCTGCCCTGGTTTCAGTTTAAAATCATATGCTTTAAACTATAAACCAACAAAAGATCTCAGAACACAGCATTAAGCATCTTGGTTTTGTTGAGACACTGCTGCTTAAAAACAAAGCTAAAACATGTCCATAATTTCATAACAAAGAAATATTTTTCAACACTTTGAATGTTACACCACATAACAAAACTGATGACAGTATGTCTTTTTTTCCCAGCCTGTTACACTGGTGGATTTATGCCTGTGGTGAATGTGTATCGATAGGCCTTTGGTGACCAAGGACTAACCAGAATCCTCTGTAGAATTACTATTTCCTATTTCATTCTTATTTTGTGAACTGGTAAACTGTGGAAGAGTTCTGTTGCACTCTTCCACCCTGATAGTTCATGTTAACTTTTAGTAGAAATAGAACAGAGAACAGGTTCCTAGAAAAAGCACCTGCTTGTTTTTTATCATAAATTATCTCAACTGATCTGATGCCTTTTATGTTATTGGGACTAAAAAGGTATTCAAAACTTACATTCTTTTGAAGTTCTTGATACCTTCCCTTCACAAAACATCTTTGAAATTGAGAAGTATGTGTAGAGAGAATATCTGACATTATACTTCTCAAAGTGCCTTCAGAAGTACCAGAGGATGGTAATTACCAATCAGTTTCCATCTCGCGACAAAACCTGAAAGTTTTGTTTGTTTTTAAATCAGGGTATTTGTACAGAAGACTCAAACAGATAAACTAACAGATTGGCAAGACAATAAGGTTCTGTGAGAAAGAGCCAAATTGATCTCCCAAAAATAAGGATTATTGTCTTTTCAAGCAGTAAAAACCACCTCAGACACACTACTTAAAAATCCTATCTCTTCTAATTATACAGAAAAATTGAAGTTTTTATGTCTGTTTATGAAGAACTGGCATTTTTCCCCCAAGCATTCTTTAAAACAGAAAGGCTGGAACAGACAATATCAGAGTATTTTTATTTCATGGGTATGTTTTTCCCAGTATTTTATTTTATTTTGTTATAAAGTTCTTATATTAAATGGCCTCATTTTCAGTAGGAGGTTCAAAGGCAAGCCTGCAGATTTACTGATTTAAGATAAAGCTTGGATATTTAGGAACTGTTTTTTATAAAAAACTGAATATCGTAACAAAAAATAGACTTAAGGATTCTGGGGATTTTGACAGTCCCACATTCTGTGTTTGTGTAAATTATGTCCATATAAAACCTGCCAAAATCAAAGCCATATTTTTCTTCCATTTTTTATGTGAGAAGATTACAAAAAATAGCAAAATGTATTTTAAGAAGACATTATCTTAATTTATCTTGACAACCAGCAAATATATAATCATAATATGTGTCTTCTTGTTCATTGAAATTTTACTCTGTCTGAGAGGGTAAAATGAATTATGAAGATAAAATATTTTAGAATTATTTGAGGCAAAGAAGGCTTAAGATTCCTTTTCTCTTAATCACCTTCATCCATTGCTTTCTACCAGCCTTGTTTTTTACAACAATAATTTAGGATTATTGTAGGAAGCAAGCATAAACAAACACAGAATTTTAAAATCTTCATTACTTATGACAAGTATGTTCTATTTTACAAATACCTTGTGGAGGGTTTATTTTATTCAAAAACCATAAGCAAATTTTATTCTCTTGGAGATCATTCTAAATGCACATGAATCTCAAATTGGGAGAATTTACAGCCATTCTCAAATGTCCCTAGTACTCTAATCTCAATACTCCCTTTCATATCTTTTGTGTTCCTCAGCAAAACCTCGTAATTTCTTACTCTGGCTTTGTGCAATCTTTGCTGCTGCATTGCTGATAAAATCCTTTTTGTGGCACTAAGATAGCAGCTTGCACATTAAACTGTACACCAACCTGATGGGTTTGCACTGCAATTAAGGCTGAACTTGAATGTCTAAAGTCTAAAGATGCTTTAGGTTTGTATAACTATTTCTCCATGGGTAACAGAATAATTAACTGATAAAAACATCTTTTCACTGGTATCCCTTACAGGTGTTAATCAGTCATGTCCTTTTGGACAAAAATAAACCCAGGAAATCAATAATCTATGTAGTTTACTAGGACCAGTGTAAGAAGGAAAATTCCATCCATTTAGGAGTTGCAGACTGTCCCCTGAAGTATTATTTCTTGAAACTGGTTTTATTCCTGTTAAATATTTCCAGGAATTCAGCTGCCTCTGTTCATATAGCAGTCCTTGCCTTGTAGAGCACATGTTAGTCTGGAAATTTTGAATATTTTTAATTTGATTTCTTGCTGTTCTCAGTGCCTTTGCTGTTTCTGTGTTGGGCACCTGCTGTCACAACATCAAGAAGATGAAATTCCTGGGTGTTCAAGGGTACAGACTGCCAAAAAACTTGCACCTCCCTGAGGCCTCTGGGTGTCACCCATGCCTATTTTGACAGCACCTGGCTGTTCTTTAGGAACATTCAAGCTCAATATTTTTATTACTTTGAAAGAAAGGTGGAGTAGGAATTATCCAGGAGGAAACAGATAAAATATTTAAACTAAATATTTTTGTTTTGTAACATACATAATATAAATCTGGAGCATTAGGCTTGTTTTAGTGAAGTGCCATTCAGAGCAAAGGTAATGAAGATGAAATCCTGAGCAGGAATTACCAGAGAGCCTGAAGTTTATCTGTCTCTAGTCATGGTTTGACAGATATGATTATTTGAATTTCCACTTCTAAGAAATCATGATAGCATACACATACATGATAGAAGCCATCCTGCCTTAATTAAGGATGTCAAAGGCAGCTTAATTTTTGGATTTATTTAATATATTCTTTATACTTACTCAAGAATTCTTATGCTTTCATCTAAAAAACCATATAGAAATGATTAATAAAGAAGATATGTAAAAAGATCAAAAAGAAACCAAGCCAGAAAACATTGCACTGAAAACCATCAAGCCAGTTTAGTCCATCAGCAGGTGGCAGTAACAAGCCATGTTTTTTCAAACTAAATTTAATACAAATTAAAGCCTTAAGGTTTTTCTGTTTTTGCAGGGATTTCAGTACTAGTGTTAATAACATTCAGATTAACAAAACCAAACCTCAGTGGCATAACTACTTCCTGTGTGGACTGAAGGGTATTCAGGTAAGCCAAATCCATTTAATTTATGAAATTAATGTAGACGTAAAATACAACAAGAATACCTATTTACCCTTGAAATGTTTTCCTGCATTCTACAGCTTTTTTTTTAACATAAAGTTAAGTATTTTAATGTTAAAACTTGAAGAGGAGATATGACTGGCTTTGCTTTAAAATATTGGCAGAGCACTATTTTCATCTCTATAAAACAAATTACAATAGCAAATAATTGCTTTGGAAAGTCGTGATCAAACATTATCAGGATGACTTTTCTGTATTTTGAAGTCAAAAGGAATGCTTTCCAATGGAATTCTTTAATTAAAATCTGCTTTGAAAAAGGTTTAGAGGTTTGTTTTTCAGGACATGAAGATCATATCTTAACCCTTTTCTTTCCATGGAAGCATTTAAAAACAATGAACTTCCATTAAAGCTGAAAACCTGTAATTTGTGCACAGCAGCTGAGTGAAGCTGACTCATGCAATAGGCAAAAGAAAATGCAAAAGCCAAGTAAACAGCATACAGAAGAAATAATCCATTAAGAACCATTACTCATCCTGGTTTTCAGGGTTTGGAACTTGAATGGGATTTTCAGAATGTCCTGAGTTAGAAGTGCAGCTGTGCAGGAGGGGGCACACTTACAGAAAAGGCAGGAGCACAACGTCCCAGATGTTTTCCTGTCTGCCCACTCCAGGTTTATCTCCCTGGGGAGCTCCCTCTCCAGCCTGGCCTGAAGACCCAGCTCTTGTGAAAGCAGGTGCTGGTCCTGGGAGGCAGCCTTAATTCCCCATCGAGGCTCCTGCAAATCTTACCTGGTCTTTGCAGGTGAGGCACAGAATTCACAGAATTCATGGCCCTTTGAGGAGAAAAAAAAATGTGTCTTCTCTGCTTGATGTGAATCTAATGATATTTCTGGAAGGGCAGATGGAATAAACAGTGATGGCAGGTCAGGAACAGGTTGCCACAGCCAGCCCAAATGATGGGTAAATGTGCTTTTTAAAGCACATGAAGTTTTCCTCAGGATGTCCCAATAGATAAGGACTGCAGACTGCTGAAAAGCCTACCTCAGACCTGCCACTGGTGTCTTCAAAATACAATATTCAGAACAATCAGTGCCACAAATCACTTTATTACAATTCACAGGTCCTAAACCGCCCCCTGCTCCTTTGCATAGACCCAAATAAATTACTTATGTGTGCAGTAACATGAGTATTTTCAATTTTGTATTGCTCAGTAATACAGGCATTTAAACTGCACTGAATGTAGAGATATAGATTAGGTTTCTTTACAATATATCCTTTCTTATATTAAGGCTTGCATGACCAATTGACTTTATTTATTTTGCAGTCTGCTACTGAGGTCTGTTTCCTAAGGACAAGCTTTCATACTTGAAGGTTAATTTGCAAAGCAGGTTTGCAGACTCTGGTACTGGCAGAAAATAAGCATAAATGTTACAGACTTAAGAAAGTCTGAAATACAAGTACTCAGAGGGTCCAGCGGGATAATCTGTTTATATTAAGTTGAGCATGCTATCCTTTTGGGACAGGACTGTTGCAGAACTTGGCAAAGTCCATTTTCATTTTTGAAACCGAAGTACGTTTTCTATTTAAACATCGCGTGATAAGTCTGCGAGCCTGATTCACATTCAAGACGATCCAGAAACTGTGGATCAGTTTTTGGTTACTCAAGCATTTTCTGTTTATGAACAAGCCTGTCTAGTGTTCTTCATGAAGGGGCATGGGCAGCAATAGTATGCTAGATATGAATTTCCTTTATTTGTAAAACAGGAAATTCAAAATATAATTTGAAGCGATGGTAGAAGACTTTAAAGGACGCTCTTTGTGTTTGCTGATCTCTACCATTGTGAAGTTGTTTCAGGAGAAGTAGTAGAAATCTCTTCAAGATGGACATTTCTCCATGGAAATACTGTTATTTTTTTCTGATTATTGGCACTGTAACAGTTTATTGACGTATCAATTGCATCAGAAGTTAGTTATTCATATACCCCCCATGTACAATGATTTTTTAACAAGTGCTGCATGTTTGTTTCAAACTAATAGCAGAGAGAAATTTATACAAAAGTGATTATAAATAAAAAGAAAAAGCAACTAAAGAATATTTAAAAGGGTATGTACATGAGGATTTATGACTTCTGGATTAAATGTATTATCTGTGGTATCTCTCATGTATGTTAGTATATTTTAAACTTCATTCAAAAAATAGCATGCCAGAGAAAATCCCCACTGGTAGGTGTGTCTTTGTGACCCTAAAGCACAGAGTTCCTTAAGTACCATTGTGGTTTTCCCAGTTTCAGTCCTGTGGGTGCTTCAGGACACAAGTATCTGCTTGGAAAACACTGCATGGCTACTGGTTCCCCCTCAGTGTCATGTGGCTCCCTAATACCACGTGCCAGCCTTGGAAGTGAAGCATAAAGTGGACCTTGAGCTCTTTGTGGTGCCTAAATGAAGAGCTGTTGAGAAAAGGACAAAAGTAGGGTATAAAAGGATTGGTAACTTTGCATTGTCACCACAGCAGCTCAAAGCAGAGCCAGTTGCTGCAAAACCCACCCACGAAGCTTGGTGAATTCTTGGGCGTGCAGCCCATCCTGAGTTCTGCTTGGGGTAGTTATATGTTTGTGTACAGCCATTGCAGACATACCTTTGGCTGAAGCCCCACCATTGGCTTTGCTCCTAAGGAATAGAATGAAAATTTTGCTTTTGCTTTATTTTGGAGATACCAGAAGCAGGTCCTTGCTTCCAGCAACTCAACAGAAGGATTCTCTTTCTAAGTATCAGATAATTGCAAGCCTGAGCCAGTCTGTACTTGAAACTGAGATTGTTTATTTTTTCATTGTTAGGAACATTTTGGTCTCAATAACCCAACTGGAATGAATTGTCTGCTAGATGGAACCATCCCTCCAAGTTCTGGTCTCTCTAGCTCCAGTGCTTTGGTGTGCTGTGCAGGACTCGTGACACTCAGAGCTAATGGAAAAACCCTCTCTAAGGTAATTTACTGTAAAACATGAGAGTGTCAGCAGTAAAATTCTACTTAAAATTAAATATTGTTAATGCCTGTAAACATTAAAAACACGATACAATTGTTTTTGCAAAGAGTTGTTGGATATAAACTTAAGATATTGCACAATCGAGCAAACATCTTTGGCCAAATTTTGGCAGGATTTGAATTTGGCAAGAAAACAGGCTTACATTAAAGCTGAAAAAAGGAGCATTATTGTAAGCCTGTATCTTGGCCAACCATCAGGTCCATGCCTGGACCAGATGTGCTATCTGCAGGCCAGGGCTGAGGATATATGTGCTGAAGCATGTGGACCACACCCCCGAGGCCTTTACTCTCTCCCTGAATGACTTTTCATGGCTTTAACAACAGAGCATCTGTTGGAGGCCTGTGGAACAATTTCTTGATAAATTATGTAATCAGCACAAAGTAGAGGTAAAATTCTTCCATCTGACTCTCCTTATTCTCTTCACAGTTTTTTTGTAACACATATTTACAATCCAAAATGTATTCCTCACTTTTAAACAAACATTAGTCTAAAAACAAACCCCAAGTATGTGACCTGTTAGCAGTACAACTGTTAGCACTGTTTGGCTTGCGTAATACAGATTTCTGGAGGAGTCATGGTCCTTGAAGGTGCCATATTGGAACGAAGTTCTCTCCATTAAAAATGTCTGGTTAAGTGAAACTAGGATCTTAAATTAGAACATTGTCAGGAAGAGAAAAGAACAGATCTAAATGTGACTGTTACACATATTTGTGCCTATTGTCTAAGACAGACATTCCCAAATTGTGGTACAAAGCCAACTGAAAGTGGCACATGATGATGGCAGCTGTTAACTCTGCTTGTAACAAGCACTTCTCTGAACCATGAGGTGAACAGATCCACACAGGAGGTTTTTGCTGATCTGTTGAGATTTACTTGTCTATGAGGCTGCAGTTGCAGGAATGTTCTCAGCAGTGAGTGCACAATCCCACATTGTCCAGCTCCCAGGGCTGCCTTCAGGAGCGTCAGGCAGGGCTCAGGCAGAAGGGAGCAGGTTTGGAGAGGCACGGAAGCTTTTTAGGTAGGAGGATGTGGCTACAGTTACTGTCACCCTGACTGTTGTTGGTGTTTGATCAAAGGTCAGTAAGGGATTGGACACTGTAAGAGAGGCTCTGGTTTGGGAGGTGAGAGCAGTGGTAGATGAAAACACAGAATTGGGGATCCTTCTTGGATGAGTGAGACTGTAATTGAAGCGTTGGAGGTGACTGAATGTGTACCTGGCCTGACAAGAAGCTTCTGGTTTTGCATAGATGGTCCTACCACAGGTCAGCACTGTCTCTGATGGTGGTCACCTCAAGAGTGAAGCTTGGGAACAACTGAGCAAAATCACTGGAGTGCACATGTTCAGAAATTGGGTATCTGCGCAAGCATAAAACTGGCAGAGGTCAGAAAGCCCACATTTTACTAGGTAGTAAAAATCTGTATCTGGAAAACCAGAAGCCAGGTTTTCATTATTCCAATTCTGCACAGTGTTCTTCAGAGAACAAATGATACAGTGTGTGTCTTGGGCTGAACCTACACTTGGCTTGGGAGTACCAGCCAGCATTATGCCAGATTTGTTGTAAAGAAAGGTGCAAAACTCCTTCTGTCATTTTCATAGAAAATTATGGAAGAACAGAAGGAAGACAGAGACTCCACTGAGTGTCTTTTCTTCTCCTCATGTGTCCTGTTCAATCCTCTTCTTGCTAGTTGAAAAATGTGCTGAAAGTTAAGCTTGTGTCTGAAATACAGTTGGACAAACGCAAGAGACACAATTGCACATTTTTGTCAGGGAACCCTGCTGCCTGCAGCCAGATATTTTGCACTTACAATGAAAAATGAGCAATTAATGTACAGATGAGACTTCTCAATAGCCTCCATAGGAGCAGTGAAGAACATATCCAAGGTTTTGTATGCTTGCATAAACCAAGGCACCTGGTTGTCCTGCTTAGGAGAGAGGGTGACAGCTCTGAAGACTGACTGCTTTTGTCCAGGCGTTAAGTTGCCCCAGATCTTATAGGACAGTAAAAACTCATTCAGTGTTTTTTGCTAATTTATGATTTACCATTAGAGACTTCTTATATGTAGCTAAATCCAGAGTTGCACTGGATTTATGCTTAGCCTAGCAGAACTGCCTTGTAAAAGGCAGGGCTAGTCAGAGTATAAATTAGAGCAATTTAGGCATGTGAGTCCTCAGAAGAATAAAACGTGCTCTGGCCACTTCTTGCCAGCTCCTAATGCATCCTGTGCTGGTGTCAAATGGGATCTGTGCAGGATCCAGTCCTGCTGGCTCTGTGTCAGCAGGGAGCTCCCCCATGGCAGGGAAATTCTTAGCTGAGCACAAGTAGGGGCCTTCCAGATCCTTTCTATTAGAAAGCTAACTAGGACCGTGTATTTTTAAGGCTCTGGATATTGATGTGTTTGTTTATTTTAAATAAGAAATATCACTTTACCCCTCCCATCCATCTTTTTTTTTCCAAATGCTTTATAGTTGTGAAACTTGTAAATTGTGGTATTTATAAGTAACAATATTTGGTTATGATGGTAATTTTATGAGAAAATATTGACTTTTTGCCCCTCACTAGTCTGATGGACTTCGCAAAATCTTAATGTGATGGTTTGTAGCAGGAAGACAGGAAACTTTTGGCTTTGGAATCAAATTTGGCTGAACTGTAGGGCTTCTGTAGCCAAAGTTATGAAAAAATGACCTTTTACTGAATGGAACATTTATCTGTTTTGTTTCTGTGAAACTATTTTTATGAGAATATTTTAGTTACATGCTCTTTTTCCTGATAAATGTAAGTTTAAAATAGTTGCTGTAGAGTAAAAGCCGTTGAAATTTAGAGCTTTTATGAGATAACACTTCCAGTGTGAGGTTCAGGCCTATGAGATTAAGAGCCAAAACCCCACAAAATTAAAAAACATTGTAAAAGCATGGCTAGAATTTCATGGTGGCTTACTTTAAAAGTAGCACTTTTTTGACATTGAAAACAAAATCAGAAAAAAACATGCTCTCACTAATTGTGTGTCGCAGTCTGAAACAGGGCATTGTTTCAGTGTGCATACAATATTTTTTTTAAAAAAAACATCATACACATACACAATAGTTAGGGAAAATACCAGTTCAAGACAATTCAGCCAGATGTGCAGTGCTAACCAGTTGCAGCAGTGCAATAGCATTCAAATAACAAGATGGAAAATGTAGAATGCAATCTTTAAAAAGAATCCATTTTTCTCCTCCAAACAGGATACCACTCTAAGGCTGTGTTGGCATCACTCAAACAGCAGCAATGCTCAGAAGTAGTAGTTCTTGATTTTAAAGTGATTTTTAATTCACTCTTACAAAATCAATCTTTTGTATAACTTTTCATCAGGACATGATACTTTTTGTAAAGGAAACATAATAATGCTCTAAAGTGTCCCAGCTTTGTGTTTTGTGGTAGGAATTAATGAGTACAGAAAATCACTCAGGACTGGTAACTAGATTTACTTCAAAGATGTGATAATAATGATGTTGTCAAATGTTAGGTCTTGTGAAAGTAAGGTCTGTTCAGCCACCTTAACATTTTTCTGTTACATCAAGGCTGGGTATCTGTGCACATACTTATTGGGAAGAAGAGATCAAAACTGAATAGGGTTTATCTAATTTAATGTGAAATAGGAAGCATAGGAAGCATAGGAAGGGGAATCATATTTGGCTTTATCTAGACTGAGAAAAAGCTAAGTCAGACAGAGTAAAAAAAGGACTTAAACCTAACCTGTAATGGCACAGTGTCCATTGGTTTCACTTTTCCCAAACTATGGCTCAGATGAATTAGAGTGTGGGTGTTTTTAAACAGTTTTAAACAGTATTCCAACAGTTGCTATACCTGCTACTGTCACTGGTTTCAGTGGGAGAATAGAAAGGCCATCTGGAACCCTTTCTACTTGGTTTCTGAAGCCTCTGTATAATAATGAAATGGCTTGAGTTGAGCCCTTTACACTGCTAATCCATAGCTGTCTGTGAGTAGCCACACTGGTAGTGTGACTTTGAAATGAGGAACCTGTGCTGATAATACTCCTTAGGATTGGATTATAATTTATTTTATTTTTAAAATATTTCTTTTTATAATTTATTTTCTTGATCTATCAAAATCTTTGATAGGTACATGCTCAGGACAATTATGTAAGAAACCAAATTGTTTACACAAAAAATGGCATGTAGATACTGTATTTTAAAGTACTCTTAATACAGAGAAATGCTAAAGTTCCTTTCTGAAAAACAGGGTTCTTGTTAAGCTTGACTGTATGTTTGTAATCAAGGGGAAACAGAGTACTTTGGAGCAGTGGTAATCAAAGGCCATAATCTCTCATCAACCTAATTGATAATCTTCTATTTGAGCATGTTAGGGGGCAGACAAAGTCAAGCTAAGATTGCTGTGCTTATGAGGACATCCAGATACTATCTGACAAATATATTCCCATTCTGGAAAAAAGTAAGCATAATTACCTTGCAAAACATATATGAAGTTCAGCTAATTGGAATTTTATGTGCAAACTGGAAGCAGATGGTAACTTTCAGCAACCTATTCCTAGTCAAGATGAGATATTAAAAAAAAAGGCATTCCTGGTGGTAAAAATAACATTAAAAATCTGATCATCATTTTATGCCTTCCTAAATGAAACACAGTACCTTATATTTCAGAAATTATTTTTATACCTGTATTCATATATATAAAATGTGCACAGATTGGAAAAAATGACAGTCTAACTAGAGTTGAAATGTGTTATATGATGGAGATTGTTTCCTTCTTACTGTAAACCACTCATCTTTATCTATAAATGTTTCTTCTGCATTTTCAGTCGTGTGTATTGTGAACCAAACTCTGTAGAATTTTACAGAAAATCTACACTACATTTGCCATTAAATTACCAACATTATTTGTTGTAAAGGAAAGCAGCAGATTGTGTCTGACTTTTCAGAT